CACCTTGACAATCCGGTCGCCCTCTTGCACCCCAGCCTCCATAGCTGCTCCTCCTGCCAGGCAACAAGCAGAGGGAGGGGGGTTACAGTAAATAACAGCGTAGCCCCGGCAACGTGACATCTGCAGCTCTAGTGCACTGGGAGGGGCGGGGGAGTGTGACAAAGTCACGAACACCGGACTTACATGGAGCTGTTTTACTCTATTGCATGTCATGCTTGGATCACCCTCCTCCTTAGTAACCAAGTACCCTTGTAGCCCATTAAGCAACAGGGCTACCCTCTGCTATGGGTCTGTTCCCTTTTAGGGCTTCTGTCTCGGGAAGAGGGTCTGTCCCTGCGGAGCCAAGAGCAGGACTGGGGGCTAAGCATCAGTTACAGACTTACATGGAGCTGTTTTACTCTATTGCATGTCATGCTTGGATCACCCTCCTCCTTAGTAACCAAGTACCCTTGTAGCCCATTAAGCAACAGGGCTACCCTCTGCTATGGGTCTGTTCCCTTTTAGGGCTTCTGTCTCGGGAAGAGGGTCTGTCCCTGCGGAGCCAAGAGCAGGACTGGGGGCTAAGCATCAGTTACATGAGCTTCCCTATTCCAGCTCTTCCCTTGCCAATCTCCCCTGGTCCAATGCAGCTATTAAACGTTGAAACACACTGACAAATTCGCCCTGGCTCCAGCCAAGCCGAAGAGGAAACCTTTCCACGAGGATCGAGTCCAAACCGAGACCAGCAAAGGAGGAAAATAAACGACAGATTCTTTCAGCTTCAAAGATCCCTCGTTACAGTCAGAACAGAGGGAGCATCTCCCCGCCGCACTACGCCCAGGGCGTGATTGTGCCAGGGCAGGGCACCAGAGCAGGGGCAGGGAACCTTTTTGGGGCAGGGGGCCGCTGACCCACAGAAAAATCAGTCGGGGGCTGCACATAAGTGAGAAGGAGGAAAAAAAGCCACCTTCATGGATGTGGCTCCTGACTGAGATGCAGAAAGACTGTCCCCACTGGGTGGGCAGGACTTGAACCTGCCACCCTGCGGCGAGTGCCTTATCCCCATGGCCACACTCCCCCACCTCACCTTGAGGGCGCTCTCCCTTTGTGGGCAGGTCTTGAACCCACCACCCTGCCCTCCCACCACACCCCAGAGCGTAGGGGGGCCCAGGCTAGTAGACTTTGTGCACTCCAGCCCCACAGGAGGGTGACGGGGGGCTGTAGCATCAGTGCAGGCTCCCTAATGCTGGGGGGAGAGTCCTGAACCCTGAGGACCGTAGCCAGCCCCCGGGGCCTAGGTCCCCCCCTCCCCGCACCAGAGAATCCAACTCACTTTGCACCAGTGCAAGTGATTGCACAAGGAGAGGGGGCTGCGGGGAATCAGACCCATTGGCTTTTCTGTGTTAAAATATCTGGGATTGGATCATGCCGCTGGATTCATGCTGGCGCAGCTGAGGTCGTGAGGGTCAAGGCAGGGGTATCTCCATGCAGTGCCCATTGCAGGAGAAGAGATTTGATATTTAGCGGTGTCCCTTTACACCTCCCCTTTACCTAGCTGAATTTTTCCTGGCCTGAGTGTTAGTCTTTTCTTGGTAGGGGAGTGGAGGGGGTCAGTTTGCAAGGAGAACAGTTCCCGGAGCCCTGCCACTCCCCTCAAAGCCACTAGACAGCACAAAGCTGGACTGCCCCAGGAGGAAGGGCCCAGAGGGAAAGCTGCTGAGGCTGCAAGGGGAATTCCCCGGCAGCCTGCGATTATGTAACAACCGTGGTTAACCGGCCTGCCCGGGGAGCAGAGATGGCTCCACATGGGGAGCTGGATGGTGCTCTCAAGAGCTGTTTGGGGTTTAATTCCCACCTCTGGTTGGCCAAGCGGATCAAGACACTCCCATCCGGGCACACGCCTCCCCCAAATCATACTACTGCCCTCCCAACCATCCGCCCGCACAGCCTACGCCAGACCTCTCTTGATCAAACAGGCTTGGGGTCAAGTGAACAAGGGGAGTCCCCATAAGGGATGTTAAATATCGGTTAACTGAGCAGTCGGGTAATCTCGTGAATTCTTATCGGATACTCAACTATCCTGTAGTCCCTGGGGGCGGGGCCGGCAGCCAGTGCGCTCTGGCCCCACTCCCAAGAAGCCGCCTGCCACTCCATGCTGCTACCTCTGTGGCAGCAGCCCCTGTCCGGGGGGTGGGATCTGAGTTCTCAGACCCAGTGCGAGCCAGAACTGAGCCGGGCTGCCTGCCCATCTGGCTCCTAACACACTTTAAATGAAGAGCCGCAGCAGGGGTAGGTCCCGGATCTGGCCAGCTTTCTAAAAAAAAAATGTACTGGCAGGAGTGGGAGGGAAAATGCATGTAGTCTATAGCATTAACCAAAAAGCATTTGCTGATCAGCTGATGGGTTCAATGACTGCACTATTCCATCCCTAGTCCCCATTTCCACAAGAACATCCGTGGGCCCCAGGAAGCAGGGACAGACTCACCTGGCCGGACAGACTGCACCAGGACGATTCGGTCCCCGCTGACGGTGAAGCCAAAGCCATGCTGGTCCTTCTGGATGATGACACAGCGTTGAACCAGGCCTTAAGCAAGACGGAAAAAAACCCCCGAGTAAACGAGGCATGAGAGGCTGGAGTTGGAAACCAGGCCTCGTGTGGCTACGTGTGGCTCCAATTTCCTGCTGGCCCGTGGCTACTCTCCCTTCCTCAGGGCCCGGGGAACATTCAGGCCCAGAAAATGGAAGGCAATGAAAAAAACCCCAGCCCTGAGATTAGAAATAACGCTAGTTATTTCAAAATAATGTTGCTGTGTAGACATAACTTTTGAGGGCCTTTCCATGCCACATTTAGTGTAAAAGAGGATCAGCTTTTCCATGTGAATCATAGAGTAGTAACTATGCAGCAAGTGAAACAGTCAGACCTTTTCATGGCACAGTATCTGTTAAGAAACATTTCTATTCTTCTCTGCCTAGCGATAAATAGGCAAGAAGCTATTACATACTACTTCTTGTGAGGTTCCCTCCTCCCCCCCAGCTGTCTCAGAAACACAAAAAAACTGAAGACCTGACCATGGCCTTACAAATGAGTTCATTAAATTTTTAAAAGGAAGAAGTGTGTGAGAGAGAGTGTGAGTGTGTGAGAGTGTGTGAGAGAGAGTGAGAGCGAGAGCGAGAGTGTGTGTGTGTTTGTATGTGAGAGAGAGAGAGTGTGTGAGAGAGTGTGTGTATGTGAGAGAGAGAGTGTGTGTGAGTGTGTGAGAGAGAGAGTGTGAGTGTGTGAGAGAGTGTGAGAGAGTGAGCGAGAGCGAGAGTGTGTGTGTGTTTGTATGTGAGAGAGAGAGAGTGTGTGAGAGAGTGTGTGTATGTGAGAGAGAGTGTGAGAGAGTGTGAGCGAGAGCGAGAGTGTGTGTGTGTGTATGTGAGAGAGAGAGTGTGTGTGAGTGTGTGAGAGAGAGAGAATGTGTGAGAGAGAGAGCGAGAGTGAGTGTGAGAGCGAGAGCGTGTGAGAGAGTGTATGTGAGAGTGTGTGTGTGAGAGAGTGAGTGAGTGTGAGAGAGCGAGAGCGTGTGAGAGAGTGTATGTGAGAGTGTGTGTGTGAGAGAGAGAGTGTGAGTGTGTGAGAGAGTGTGTGTATGTGAGAGAGAGAGTGTGAGAGAGTGTGAGCGAGAGCGAGAGTGTGTGTGTGAGAGAGAGAGAGTGAGTGTGAGTGTGAGTGAGTATTTCTGAACACGATGCTGGAGGTCACAGACAGATGCCCCTGCAGCGTAGAGAGCCCAAGAAAGAGGAGGATGGACAATAAAGCAAAACACTAGGACTCCTGGGTTCCACATTGCAGTGGCCCTGTTCCCTTTTCAGGCGGCGGTTTCCTAGGAGATGTTGGTTGACACCCCAAGGTCTGACACCAGCTGAGTTTCAGCCCCTAGATAGTAGGGATGTTGAGATGCGTGTAATCCGGTAACCGTGTAGCTGACAAATATTGTGTTGGTTACACAGTTAACCGCGGTGGCTCTGCATTGACAGTAGCCTGGGAGCCGGTGGACAGGCAGCCTGGCTCAGTCCCGGCTCGTGCCAGGGGCAGCAACCCCTACTGCACTAAAATGGGGGTAGCTGCTAGAACCCAGCCGGAGCCGGGACTGAGCCACAGTCTGCTAAATTTACTCACAGAACCAGAGCCGAGGGAGGAGCTACATGGAGCTGGTCGCATTAACTGATAAGCATCTGCTTTAACCAGATACACAATGACCTCCCTACTATAGCTTGTGGCTTGCTGGACGGACAGCCTAATGGACCTTTTCTCTCTCTGTTTTCTGTGGGTCCTTCCCACTGCCCTGAGAGCCAGAGATGCAATTACACTCTTTGCCGCTAGCAGGGATCCAGATGTCGCTAGCAACCATCAAGCGGCCCAGTTCCTGTGGCTCATCGCCATGCATTTATGGCTAACGTCATATTCTTGAGTGTCTGAGGTCTGCTTCAGAAAAATTAACAGCTCCGGATTGATGTAACCCAGCCCACAAACAGGAACTGCTGTCCGCCATATTCATCATTTTCCCCTAGTCACAACCATGAGATTGTCTGGGTCCCAGTTTTCACTCTCACAAAGGCCTCTTTTAAAGCGCTCGGGTAATTCAAGGGAAACAAATGGGCGTAACTCATCCGCACTCATTTTAAGGTCCTGTATGCTGGCAGCGTGGTGTACTGGGGCTTTAGGGGGAACAGACAGACAACAAGCTTCCCATGAGCAGAACGGGAAATGTATTGGCTACAATTTCTTTTGGTTAGAACATGGGTATGTCTAGACTACATGCCTCTGGCAACAGAGGCATGGAGATTAGACTACCCGGCATAGGAAAATGAAGCGGCGATTTAAATAATCACCGCTTTATTTAAATTTACATGGCTGCCGAGCTGGGATGAGGCATACTTGGGAGGTCGACAAATGCCTTTGATGTCGACCGCGGAATGTCCAGACTACCGCGCTGAGCCGACAAACAGCTAATCGGCTCAGCATGGCAGCAAGCGGTGATTATTTAAATCGCCGCTTCATTTTACTATGTCCGGTACCCTAATCTACATGCCTCTGTCGCCAGAGGCATGTAGTCTAGACGTACCCCATAAGAACGGCCAGGATGGGTCAGACCAACGTTCCATCTAGCCCAGCATCCTGTCTGCCAACAGTGGCCAGGGCCAGGTGCCCCGACAGAGGCATGCAAATTAGACTACCTGACATAGTCAATGAAGCGAGGATTTAAATATCCCCCGCTTCATTAAGATAAAAATGGCCACCGCGCTGTGCCTGCTCAGATGATTGTCAGCACAGCGTGCGAGTCAAAACGCAGATCGGTCGACAAGGGAAGCCTTCGTTAACCAATCCCTTATGCCTCGTGAAACGAGGTTTACAGACCCATTTTACAGATCAGGGAAATTGAAGCGGCTTGAGTGACTCACTGAAGTCACTCAGAAAGAGCTGTGAGATGCCGACTGAAAATTCCCAAATCCCAGTCCAGTGTCTTAGCCACCAAGGCAATCCTTTCTCTAATCCAGTGACACTCAATCTTTCCAGACAACCGTACCTCTTTCAGGAGTCTGATTTGTCCTGTGTGCCCCCACGTTTCGTCTCACTTAAAAATGACTTGCTTACAAAACCAGACATAGAAATCCAGAAATGTCACAATTAACAGGTAACTAACAAATTGCTGATTTTCCCATTTTTACCATATAACTGTCAACTCAATCGATGGGCAGGCAGAGCATGCTAAACAAGTCACTGAATGAAATTTTAGTTTGCACCCGTTTTCCTAGGGCTTTTCACGTATCCTGCTGTAAAACTAGGCAAAGAGCGAGGTGAGCTGATGTATTCCCTGGAAGATTTCTGCCAAGACCAGCCATTGGCGTCGGTGCCAGACTGCCCTGCACTGTCCGGTGCCTCCATGGGGGCTTATTCTTGCCTAGAGTGCATGCTCTGCTGTCCTGGGGCTAGTCACTCCAGGATTACAACCCTGCTGCTTCGCTCCAGAGCCACAGAAACATTTCCGGGCAAGGGCCAGGCCCCATGTCACTGCTGCTCTGGTATGGGTGGCACTGCTCTAGGGCAGCAGGTTTCCAACATCAGGTCATGTCCCAAGACCAGAGGGTGGAAGGTCGGGTGCTGGGGCTTGTGGCTGCAGGGGGATCACGTGAGCAGTGGGAGGAGCTAACGCAGCTCCCTGCCTGTCCTGGCACCGCAGACTGCGCTGTGCCCAAAGGGCACCAACAATGATTAGGGGTTTGGAATGGGGGGTTTAACAAGACGGAGACTTTTCAGTTTAGAAAAGAGGAGACTAAGTGGGGGGGAAAGGATATGATTGAGGGCTGTACATTCATGACTGGTGTGGAGAAAGTCAATCAAGAAAAGTTATTTACTTGTTCCCAACCCTAGGAACTAGGGCTCACCAAGTGAAATTAACAGGTAACAGGTTGAAAACAAACAAAAGGGAGGATTTCTTCATGCAACACTCAGTCAACCTGTGGAACTCCTTGCCAGAGGATGTTGTGAAGGTCAGGACTTGAACGGGGTTAAAAAAAAAAAGAGCCAGATAAATTCATAGAGGGTAGGTCCATCAAGGACTATTAGCCAGGATGGGCAGGGATGGAGTCTGTAGCTGCTGTTTGTCAGAGGCTGGGAATGGGCAACAGGGGAGGGATCACACGATGGTTCCCTGTTCTGTCCATTCCTTCTGGGGCGCCTGGCATTGGCCACTGTCAGAAGACAGGACACTGGGATAGATGGGTCTTTGGTCTGACCCAGTGTGGCCGTTCTTATGTTCTTACTGTGGTACGGGGGCCAGAGACATGGCCAAGACAGCCCGATAGTACAGCCCCGAGCCTGCTGTCATAGCAACCCAGAGCAGGGAGGACAGAAGTGAAGGCTACCTGTTGTTTCAGTGCAGTCAGACGGCTGGCGATGGTGCCCGGGAGACCTGCGTCCTGGAGCCGAATCGCCCAGTGAAGACAGGCTGCTTAACCTGAAGGGAACGAGACGGAGACAGTCATGAAGCAAAAGGAGGGACAACTGCCTCTCCCCCGTACAGCACGCCTACCAAGACAAGCGGCAAGCCCCAGCCGTAGACAGCCCAGCCTTCATGGTCTGCCCCCCCCGCCTCTCCCAGAACTAGCGCTGAAGAACCCTTTTCCCCACTGCCAGGAGAGAGAGAGCCAGAGTCTCCGCGAGGGGGCTACCCCACAGAACCAGGCCCGGCGGCCGACGAGGCCTCAGGAGCATGTTAATCCAGGAGGGACGGGATGGGGGAGGAGATGGCTGGGTTTCCACACAACATGACGAACCACTCATGCAAACCACACCCACGCACGCAGGAGGGCAGTGGCCGAGCTTACCAGGCAGCAATGGGGCTGATGGAAGAAGAGAACACGAAGCAGCGAGGAATGAATGAGAGAGACAATGGACGGTTACTTGGGGGTTGGGTTTTTTTTTTTTTTTTTTTACTTTGAGCTCTTGCAGTTCTGTGAGGGGGGAGGGTGCAGGACTGAGAGCCAGGCAGGCCAAAGCTTTCTGCCCTTGGGAGAGGTGCAATAGCCCCGGCTTTGCAAGCTTTCCAGAACTCTCCTACCCCGGGAGGGGGCACTGGCTTTCTCTGGGGCAGGAAGAGAGCACCAGGCTGTACCCAACAGGAACCAGTCCCCACAAACTCTCCACGCAAACCGCCAAGCAGCCAGCAACAAGGAGGCGGCCTGCAGCCATGACTCACGGCGAAGGGCAGAGTTAACGTGAGCGGCCAAGGCTTGCGCTGACGCCTCTCTAGCTAGCCTGGCATGTGGGGAAGCACCCCAGCGGCAGAGGGCCTGCCTTGGCAGCCAACCTGCCGGCCAATGTGAGTTAACAGCACCACTGTCCTGGAGTTAAAGGGATTCTTCAGGAGTCGAGATTGGGGCCACATCTGAATTAACTGCAGTGAAGACAAGACCTATATACAGAATGCACCCAGCCTGGGGCCAGCTGGGTGCTAGGACTCTATAGGGGAAAGGCCTCCTGTCTCACTTCTGCTACCCCTGCCCTTCTAAACCAGCCAGTTCCCCCAGGTCTGGTACCATACTGAAACCAGGATCCTATAGGGCGGAGGTGGGCGGGGGGGGGCCACAAACAAAAAAAAAAAAAAAAAAAAAAAAAAAAAAAAAAAAAAAAAAAAAAAAGACGCTGCCCCTTTAAAAACCACAGGTTAGGCTTTTTGGCCACAACAGGCTCCTGCCAGCCGACGCCACTTTGCCGTGCCGGACGGCTCCCCTGTACCCAGTGAGCACAGCCCCTGGGGCCATTTGTAGGGACACATGGGGCGGCTTCGCAAACTGTGGCGGAGGCTTCGTGATCCGCACCTTCAGGGGTGAAGAGCCGCATGTGGCTCACGAACCACAGGTTGGCCACCCCTGCTATAGGGGAAAGGCTCCACATCTGATTCCCCAGTCCTCTAGGCCAGTGGGTTTCAAACGACGGGTCATGCCCCAGGACTGAGAGGTGGGATGTCGGGCCCTGGGTCTCGTTGCTGCAGGGGGATCAGGTGAGCAGTGCAGGGGCTAAGGCAGCTCCCTGCCTGTCCTGGCACCGCAGACTGTGCTGCGCCCCAGAAGTGGCCGGTAGCAGGCCCAGTTCCTAGGGGTGGGGAGGTGCACAGGGTTCTGCGCACTGCCCCTGCCCCGAACACTAGCTCCGCACTCCCATTGGCTGGGAACCTGCTGCCGTCTGCTTCTGGGGGCAGCATGATCTGTGGTGCCAGGAGAGGCAGGAAGCTTGCCTTAGCACCCCCGCTGCACTGCTGATCATGCTTGAGGTGAGCCCCTCCTGCCCCAGCCTTGACCCTCCCCCACAAAGCCGGAGCCCTCTCCTACAGCCCAAATCTCCCCTCCTCAGCCCCGCCCCGGAGCCTGCACGCTAGTCAAATTCTGTTGGGTCGTGGCAGCAACAACTTTCTTCAACTGGGTCATGAGAAAACAAAGTTTGAAAGTCAGCCACTCCCGCCAACCTGGCGGCATAGTGGAGCCAGGACCCTACGGAAGAAGGCCCCATATTCCATTCCCCAAGAGCTCTGGGCCAACCAGTTCTGATCCGATGCCACATTGCTACGAGAGGTGAAAGACCCTGTATTCCCTTCCCCGACCCCCGGATCCAGCCAGGGCGGTGGGTGGTTTGTTTTGTTGTTTGGAGGAGGACAACGGCAGAAAAAGAGCCAGGAGGGCATCTACACGAGAGCTGATTGGCACAAAAGCCCACTTCATTTGGCACACAGGGGCTTCCACTGAGCAAGTGCCTCGCAAATCAACGTGATTCTATCCGCCCACCCGCAACCCCATCTTACCTGGGCAGGAGAGAGTGCTTTTTACTGGCTGGTCTGTTGCCAATGAGGGAAGACAGAAATTGACACCAAAGACAAGAAGGAACGGTGGTAAAGATGACGCAAGGTCCAGAGGACAGCATTGGGAGTGCGGGGCGGGGGAAAGAGGAGACAAACAGATAAAAGAGACAGGTGTGTAATGGATGACACAGCTGTAAACACACTCACCACTTGGGATGTAAAAACCAGTTAAAAATAGTAACCGTGTAACTGATCCAAGTTCCATTGGTTACACCAAGGATGGGGAACCTATGTGGCCCCTGGCTTGCCTGGATCTGGACCCCCAGGCTCGGGGCTCTCCACCCCCAGCATTGGGGAGCCCCTGTTGGTGTTCCAGCCCTTCCACCCCCGCCACCGTTCCACGGGGGGCTGAAGCACACAGAATCTACTAGCCTGGGTCCCCTAGGATCTGGTGTGGGAGGGGAATGTGGGGAGTGTCTTTGTGACAGAGGCAGCAATTGGGGGGAGGGAGGAGAGCATCTAGTCGCTTACATCCCTACTGAACAGCCAGCCGGTTACAGCCACCTTCAGATCTTCACACAGGCCCTGATCCTGCAAAGATTCACGCAGGGGCTGAAGTGTTACCCATTAGATGAGTCATTTGCATAAAGCAAAGCAGGCGCTTATGTCAGTGCAGGATCGGGGCCAAATTCCCTCTGACCCCTTCCCAACGCATCTGTGCCCTACACAGAGGATCCTTCCTTCCTATGCCCCAAGAGCGATGCACCCCCCACCGCAGCATCTAGTCCGCTCCAGGGCAGAGCAATTGAAAAAGGAGCAAGACTCTTAAGGC